AATTCAGTTGATATCTGAATCCCAAATTTTCCAAAATCAATGAAAACTTCCAAAAATCCTAAACTTTCCAAATCAACCGAATCTTCCCAAAGCATACGAATTTCCTAGAAGAAAGCAATTTGAGAAGCATCGAATTCCTCATATCGGAACAAATTTAGTATCGAAAAAATATCATAAAATCAGATGCAACCAGGACACTCGAGTTCCTTGTCGATGGAGACATGAGTTTTTCTGTATCACTAATCATCGTGCCGCAACGTTAAGATCCCGACCACTGAATCTCAATGAAAACTAATCACTCCTGTCAAATGGAATCCGAAAATCGGTGCAACAATGGATAAGTACTCCTGAAAGGAAGAGTAAGAAACCATATGCCTCCTTCTTCGACAACATAATACGCACCTCCACACGTGGGCGCTCTGCGCCGGAAACACGTTTGTCTAATGGCACACCCTCAAGTTCTCAGATGTGAATGCCGCGCGGCGAGGGCCTGCAGAATGCCTAACCAGCAGAATTCAGAATTTGTAATTTCGCACACAGCGAAAAAGTAGCATAATATAAACATACGGACTACCGTAAGAGGAAAATAGAATTTTATCGGTAGTAACAGAATTATAATCAGATATCAGTATAAAATACGAAACAAGGGTGAGTAGAATAAATTCTTATGAAGAAGTTAAAAAGACCAGCAGAATATAAAATAGAATTCTATCGGTAGTAGCAGTACACAAAGCTCAAATGCTTATTTATAGATGAAAGACTTTATGTGAGTTATTGTAGTCAACTGTTGAGAAGTATGGTTGTAAAAAGATGAGGATATAATGATGATTGCTTGTTCATTTCTAGATTTCTTCTTTTAATCATTCATGTCTAGAGAAGAAATATATGCACATCAAAGATAGTTGATCATGATTATATCATGAAACGAGAGAAAAGAAGAAAAATTTACACTGGCATCTATATCAAAGATAGAAAACTATCATGCATTATTGAGAATGAAAGATTTTGTACAGAATTCAAACAAGCTACAATAGAATTCTAAGCAGAATTCAAACAACCTACAATAGAATTCTAAGCAGAATTCAAACAACCTACAATAGAATTCTAAGCAGAATTCAAACAACCTACAATAGAATTCTAATATCATATGAAGAACCGAATTGATATAGTTTCATCGTGTCAATATAGAATTCTATAGAATTTTATTGTAGAAGCATTGATTTGTTTAAAAATATTATAAGTTCACAGAATTCTGCTGGGTAGACATTCTGCAACTGCTGCATGATCCCGGACCGAACCCAACCATTGGATTTAATGAGTTTGTCACTGATTCATTCGAGTTATATTGGAAGTTCACTGTGGGATTGTTTGGCGAATGTGATTGCTTGCTGTTTCTTAGTCTCAGTGATTAATTGCATGCAGAGGGCATGTGTTATGATACAACCGTGGTATCTCATTACCATGTTCGTAATAAACTGTCTATCTGTCTTGTAGTACTATATCTTTTTCAATAGGGATCGTCCCTCTTGAGGCAGCAACACTAATTTCGTCGGTCATCATAGTGCTAGCACTTTCTACGTACTTCTTCGTTATCGTTGTCATTTCTTAGTGTGTTTTTATGCTTATATTCATTCTGAAGCTAGCATTAGTTCAAAATTTTCGTACCAGTTGATTCTTATTTTATATATGAACGTTTTTCTCATCATCTTTTTGTTGTTACGGATGTTCTAAATGGGCATACTAATTTTTACGGCTAGTTAATCGCCAAGCTAAGGTACAATTGTGTGTACCGAAAAGAGTAATACTTCTTTTGGTTATTTCTTTTCTCAAAACAGACTTTTTCTTTGTTACAAAAAGCGGGATATGACGAACTAAGATAGCTGAATAAGCTGCTTTCCATTAGCTGAGTCAAGTTGTAGATCGAATAACAAATAGAAAACGCCTTTTTTCCTTACTTGAATGAAATCAACATACTTGCTTCTGATGAGAATGCAAAACGTTTCGTAGAACTTCATGCTTTTATCTCTGAAAAAGTAATGAAAGTGATTGACTTATTCACACGGAAACTCTTTATCCTTATTTAGATCAACTTGTTCTAAAATACTCGTCGGTACCAGCTGCATTACTTTCATTTGTGGGAATCTTTCCCAGAGCAGATTTTTAATGCATCTTCCCCCCGCGTTAACTTAAAAAAATGTATGTTTTCTGAGATTTCTCAAATGTAATAGTTTTGTCGTTGCTTAATTCTTAGGCTCGAAAACAAGAAAGTTAGTAAAGACCTTGTGATTCATGAGTCAGACATGTACCGAACTATTACTGGTATTGGAGATTCGGTGACTATACTCGTACTCGTGGATTGGCATTCATAATCAAAGAGTCCGTTCTATGCCAGCAACGGTTCCCTCTCCTTTGTTCGTTCATATTTTTCTTCCCTCCTCAGCGAGTCTCGCTGCTAATACAAATTTGTCTTTCGGACATAGGCGGAGCATTGTATGATATAAAATAATAAATAAAGCGTTATCCCTACGCCACAGTTCCGAAAATCAGCCGTAAGATCTTTTAACACTAGATCTGATCACACAAAACATTATTGTCTCAGCAATCTCAGATTAATTGTTAGGTTGAGACTCATTGAAACATGTCAACATTCCATTTGAGTTCCTATACTCTTCCAGTCATATCATACGGGACGGTAGGATCTTTCAGGAATCTGATCGTCGGACTTGACACAAGAGTTCAGAGACCATGACTTTCGTGGGACTTTTTCTTGGATCCTACAACTTTGATACTAGATCAGATGTAGCATTATGTCAGATGTTAGTGTCTGATTGTAACCCCTGAATAAACGCAAGCACACCTCGATCTAAAGTTGTCAGAATCTGGAGCCCAGTCACATAGATTCCCACGCTCAATGCGGCGGGATTCGACTGAATTCTGACGGGGTTCTTTCCGTTTACATCTCACTCCAATAGAGCCGCTATGGCTGGGTGGTTAAGATGTTCGGCACATATCCACAAGATAGTGTGTTCAAACCTCGGGGCCATCATCCATAGAATAACCTTGGATAAGTTACTAACGGCTGCTTTGTCTCGGATCACCCATCCGATAGCACGCTGATTACATGTGACATACATAAAAATATCCTCGTGGATAGTATGTGGTTAGTCAGTATGCATGGGAAGCTTAAGTAATTAAGCGGAAGGAACTCTGAGTCAGGCCGGCCTTCTGTCCAGAGCTGCAGCTAGTAATAGTTGTAGGAAAAATATCGGGCTCTTGAAACTGTCTCCGGACAGCTACCCTATACTGAAAGGTAGCCGCAAGGCAAGGGTATTCTTTCTTTCTCTTTCTTTCACTCCAATAGGAATCGATCACATTCAGATCTTAATCCGCCACAGTCGTTTAATTTAATTGAACACGGGCATTAGATTCATTATTCCAATTCAATCTCGTTCCTAAGAAAATGTGGCAAAAGCAGTTTTCTTGAAATCCATAATCACATGTATTCCAGCTAAGTCCCCTCCCCCCTCCAAAAAGAACTTACCCATAGGGGGACTTATACATATATGAATTTAGAATTGAACTGAATACTTCTTGTTCTCGGAGTGTCAGGAATTCGGCTGGCTGTTTTAGCTGTTGGTTTTCCATGAGAAGTATGGAAGCTGAAGAGATTATTGTGAAACTGTGGTGAAGATATTGCATTCCTTGTCGTGTGCTGGAATTGTTGACAACTGCTCTAGGATCCCCTAAACCCCCTGTGTTGCGGAAAGTGGTGGTATTTTTTTTCTTTTTTGAATTCAGTTTAAAATGGAATACCCCATGGACTCTATTTCCCATGTAATCTTTAATACAATTTTCTATAGATTCATTAAAATGATTGTTTTCCTGTAACATGAAATTGATGTCGAACAGATTAATATTATTAACATTGTTTTTATAAAAATCGAGATATGATGAATATAATGCAAAAGTATTAATGGATGATGATGGCTCTTTTTCAAATGATCTTTCCATTGGTTTTCTTAATTCATCTTCATGGATTTTTATAATTTCTAATTTTTTTCTCTTGGTCTTTTCTTGTTCATGTATTCGTTTTCGTTTCGTTGCTTCTTTTTCTTCTATTAATTTTCGTTTCGTTGCTTCTTTTTCTTCTATTAATTTTCGTTTCGTTGCTTCTTTTTCTTCTATTAATTTTCGTTTCGTTGCTGCTTCTTCTTGCTTTGTTTTTTCTTGTGAAAGCTTCAATTGTAATTTTAATTGTAATACGTGTATAGTTTGATTTTCATGATTACTATCAAGCATATTTCGTTTTTTTATTTTAATCTAGGAAGAAGAAACAGATGCAGCACATAATTAATATTTGACGATTGTTGTGAAATGTTTTGTTTTGCTTCGTAAAAATTTCATTTTAACGAAAAGTCAGATATATTGAAAAGTTGTTAGCTCTTTTTGATTTTCATCCTAAAAATGGCTGAAATATTATATGTGAAAAATGAAAACATTTAATTGTTTCTTTTTTGTTCGATAGAAGAAAATCTTTATGAATGCTACAGTTGGTTTCATTGTCTTCACCGTCCGCAATTCAATATATTTTTTGTTGCTTCATTTCTGTTTTTGAAATCCAAGTCTTTGATTCATTTAGTAGAGATGCACTTATAGACGGTTTTTCGAAAAATGTTAAGTATGCGATATTTTATTGCTCAACTGATATTGTCTGTGACGATAACAGCTTTGAAAATGATGAGACTTTTTTTCTTCTTTGTAATTACATTACTGGAAGAATGTGTGTGTGTGTGTGTGTATATATACATATTATGCATCAAACTACTTACGTTTATTTAATTTTCGTTTGATGACTATTCGACTAATAAACTGTTCAAATAACCACGTCGCTAATTGATGGAAAGATAAAATTTCTTTCCTATCGCTTCGTCACTCACTTCAATACATGATCAGAGCTCGACCAATCATTCAATCAATATCAAAATCTACATATTTAGTGGGGTCTCGGAAAGTATGCTTAATTTTGAATGAAAGAAATCAGCCTCGTTCTTATTTCATATACGATTTCGCGGTTCAGAATGTGCTTCGTAGATATACATATACATATATATATAGATAAAACCATTAGGGTATTTCTTTAGAATTTTCATATTGAATGACAAACGAAAGATATTATAATACTATTTAAAAAATGCCATACATCTTAGAAAATGGTCCACCTATCTTACGTCTAGTGTATATCCGAGTTAGACATGAGACATGTCTTATTTTTTTAATATTTGTGTATAATAGATACTGTCGTGTCTTAGGGCCCAAACAGACTGAAAAAAATAAGACGAATTAAAAGCGAATGAACCAATCTAATTTCCGTTGTTAGATAGAAACACCAATCACGTTGCTTAATTTAACTTTAAGTTAATTCATTTTTCTCTGTCTGTTTGGCCCCTTATTCCAGTGGCGGATTTAGAGGGGGGTGCGTCGAAGCGATCGCGCCCCCTTCGAGAAGAATTTTTCGATTTTTCCCAGTAAAATGAACAAAAAGACAAGTTTGTACTACCTCGAATGCATCAGAATATGTTTTTCTAACATATAATCGCACCCCCTTCAAAAATCCTATATCCGCCACTGCCTTATTCGATATGTTAATCGAACATATGATCAATAAACCATAGACATATAGAACTAATATTGATGTCATTAAAATGTGCTTCAAGAAGTTTACTTTAAAATAATATTTCTTCAACGTTTGATTAAATAGGGACATGATGATTTATTTGTAATAATTAAATGTAAATCGATATGTAGTATGAGATATTTAAATTGATTTTCCAAGAAACTCCAACAAAATAATAACCGATAATATTAGTGATCAGGAAAAACTGTCAAGTCCTTTTTCTTGATAGCTAAAGCAAATAAAACTTATTTGTTCTTGGTATAAAAGATACATAAAAGCTAGACCTACATTATGTGTCATTGAGACATCAGTTATACAAACAAGGGGGAACGGAGGACTTGAAGTCGAAAAGTACATCAAAGTACGTTAAAGTACATACTTGAATTAGCTCAAAGTACCATTCTAATAGTCCGAAATAAAAATAAATAGCTTAGCAACTGTGATGTAACTTCAAGTAAGTTCAATTAGATTTGAAGTCGAAAATGCCTCGAAGTGCACTACTGAAAATAGCTCAAAGTAGTTTCAAGTAGCTTAACGTCACTTCAAGTTCAAAAGCCCACAATTTCCCCTTGTATACAAAAGTGATTAATCCCCCATGTGAACACGAAATGCAATATCGATGCGCTGAAATGTGGATTAACAGTAAAACGCGTTGAGACGCAGTTCAAAATGTTTTCACGACGCATGCAAACGCGGTATGATATGAAACGCATTGATACGCGGTTAAAAATATTTTGCAGCGTGTTTGGCCACAGTTTTTCTATACAACACGTTTAGACTAAATTAGAAAAAAAGCGAACCGTATCTCAACGCGTATCCCAAAAATATTTAACGCATTTGAATGCATTTTATCTACTAACTGCGTTCAAACGCGACTCAGACGAGACGGTAGCATTTGAGAGTAACGATACATGTATATGAATAGTATGAAGTTGATGAAACTAGTAGATCTGTGACAGATCACAGTTCTATGATCAAAAACTATCACAGGTCTAGAAACGAGATATTCGTGAGAATTCTTAACCACTATTCATTTATTTCTCATAAAAAGTGGAATAATATCATGTACTCAATAGGGCCAAAAGAATATTCCACAATGAGATTCAACTATTGTTCTATAGCATATAACAATAAATATGGCATCGAATTCATTCAGTATCTACAGAGGTTTTAGCACAATAAAGCAGAGGTTAAACAGAATTTTTTGATTCCATCAGCATGTTTTTATATCTCGATTACCCAGGAGAATGAATCCTAATCTAGGATTCGATGGGATTCGGTATCGGATTGATTCACCTGGGTAGAATTTTAGAAAAACAAGATAAATCTATTTTCAGAGACGAAAAGAGTTGTTAACGATAAAATGAGAGAGAGAGCAACACAGATGTTTTTTGTCCACTATTGAAGCCTCATAGTAAGTTTATTCTATATTAAACTGCTATTCGCCGTTAAACAGTTTTTATTTTATTTGACTCACTTCGCAGAATGCATTTGTTACACTATGGCACGGTACAAACCTAGCATAACACTATATTTAACTAACAAAACGAAATTATTCGCACGAACGCAAGCATACTGATATCGAGCTGGTATATAACATTTGTTTTGGTTATTTAAAAGAAAAGATTAGAAATATGAAAAAAAGACAAGTATTAAGTTAGTCATGAACAGGCTGACAAATAGAGATCAGTATAAATATAGACTAAATAATCATCGTTAATAGGACAACATTGAAGAATAAAGAGAGTTCATCTTTCTATTCATTAGCGACATCGTTATTTTTGATAGTTTTTATTAGTCGAAAAACGATAAAAGAAACAGCAATAATATAGTCTAATGCATACACACCAGGTCAGTCATTCTACTCACATATCCCGATACAGTTAGTTTTGTTGAGCAAAAAATAACATCTCGCTCCACATTATTTACCAGGTAATACTAAACGTGTTGAGTGTTATTTTCTCTAAAATGGACTTGCGCTACTTGAAACAAACACCAGAGGATAATCAATAATAAATTGAATTATGTAATGTGAAGTATTAAAGGAACTTGACCATATTCACGTTTTTCTTTTGTTGAACTAAAGGAAAAGTTGAACACATTTCCTGTGCTCATATATAATAGGAACGTGCGAATAGTTCTGAACTTTTCATTCTTTGTTAAAACGACACTGTTCCATAGCAAAAAGATATTCGAGCACAATCATTCAATATCGATTCTCATGTACACTTCGTAAAATTCACATATATTTCCTAAGAAAAGTCGGCGCTTTCCAGCTTACGTCACTTCCATTACAACCTGTAACAACCAGTGTTATATTGGTGCCTATAACGAATATATCAGTTCCATATAACACATCACCAAGAGGCTTCATTAATAATCGTTTTTTTCTCTCTAGATCGAACCGCAAAACCAAAACATGACTGTTGGTGATGATCGAAGTCAAACTAAAGAAATAATAACATTACAATCACTTATTGTTCAAGAACAAATTAAACAGCAAGAACAAGCAATGAAACGAAAATTAATAGAAGAAAAAGAAGCACTGAAACGAAAATTAATAGAAGAAAAAGAAGCAACGAAACGAAAATTAATAGAAGAAAAAGAAGTAATGAAACGAAAATTAATAGAAGAAAAAGAAGCAACGAAACGAAAACGAATACAAGAACAAGAAAAGACCAAGAGAAAAAAATTAGAAATTATAAAAATCCATGAAGATGAATTAAGAAAACCAATGGAAAGATCATTTGAAAATGAGTCATCATCATCCGACGATAGTTTCGTAGAATGCTCATTCGATACTGATATCGACAATGATTCTATTAAAAAAAACATTTGCCCGTTCGACATCAATTTCATGTTACAGGAAAACAATCATTTTAATGAATCTATAGAAAATTGTATTAAAGATTACATGGGAAATGCTTTATCGTGTGTAAAAAAAAATTGAAAATGAATATCAAAATGAATTTGATCAATTAATGTTGAAATTATTACGCATTCTTCATGAAAGAACCTCATTATTATATTTGAATACACAAAATAAAAAATATTTAGAAGGAAAGTCACCTGATTGTACATTTATCTTCAATGATATCAATGTCAATATTAAAAAAGAAGACAATTACCTTCAAGATTTTGTGGTCATTATTGGCGACGTTAAAGAGCCAACGAAATCTATCGATGATACACAAGCAAGAAATGAAATATTAACATACTTGCAACTCTTGCTAAATAAGCAACGCCGTAATAAAATCTATGGTTTTTTAACGAATATCAAGTGCATTAAATTTTTTTATGTTCAAAAAAATTCAAATTTTTGTTTATATGATTATTTCGAAAGTCCAACATTGAATACGTTTGATTATTTATTTGACGTAACACCGTCAATGCATATATTGACCACGAATACCTCAATAATTGGACAATCAAAAAATATTTCTCTGAATAAAGAGACGTGGATTATATTTACAAAATTTTTAATAATGCAGAAAGACTTTTATGAATATACAACATTGAATATAAGTTATATTGATATATTATTACCAAATAGGTATTCTATTGAAAAAAAATTAGGAAAAGGTTCAACGTCGAATGTTTATTTGTTAGAAAAAACTGAAAGCAATACTTGTATCGATGATCCTGAACATTATGTTATTAAAATATGTAGACAAAATGAATATTCATTATTATATTTAAATGAAATGAAGATGATAAACGAATTGAAGCGATTGAATATTTCAAATAAATTTTATTTATTTTTTGAAGATATTATACATTTATCACCTGCAGGTAAAATCTAATATAAAGGGAAATAGAATTCGATAAGATGCATCAAATCACATAATGTTAGAATTGATTAGTTCTTCGATGAAAAATATCTAACTAAAAGTGAAAAAGATTATTATTCTTCTAAGAAAAATAATTGAAGTGAAATATCATTTACATAATCAATAAAAAGAGAGAAATGGTTGCTTAAAAAAAGATCTGATTAACGGAAGAGAATATTGAAGAATAATTAATTAAAATTGAACGGTTTAAAAAAGCTAGAAGTTGTCCTTATATTTCTAGAGAATAAATAGAAATCTAATAATGAATTGGGCTGTCTATTGGATGTTTTATTATTATAAAAAAAAGAAATCTGCAAATCATCAAACATAGAAGATTGCATATAATTAATAGGAAAGATTATTAATTGTAAAGAAAATTGATTTGATGCCTAGAGATCATCGACTAGAAACTTATTGAAAATGAATCAGTGTTATTTTCTTTTTTGTAGACTTAGTTATGTTTAATCTTGAGAATACATTTTAATCTAGATGAAAGATCTACTATGTGTTTACAATAATACTTTTCATCGTTAGGAAAATTAAGAATTATTTTACTGAAAAAAAAAGAAAGGCAATGTTTTAGTTTTTGATAAAATGAAAGATTTTATGGATGTGACTTTTGAAAGAGTAAATGGCAATTATGCATAACTCGAATGAAAGATTTTTGTTTGATATTTAGAAAATGTTTTATTATTTAAAAATGAATTGGAATCTATAAAAACATTACCATTAATTCAATCAAAACAGCTTATTGATATAATTCAATATTTATATGATTGTAATGTTATTCATCGTGATTTAAGTCCACAAAATTTAATGTTAGATGGTCATATTCAACAATTGAAATTAATCGATTTTGGTCTCGCAAGTAAATATGAAAAAGATGAAATAACAAAACAATTACCAATAAATGGTACGATCGCATTTGGTGGACACGAATTTCATCGTTTCATTTCAAATTTACCATTGGATTCAATAAAATCTCAATTCTATGCTTATGAACGTACTTTTGATCTTAAATCTGCTTTACATGTCATCATGTATATGAATGATAATAATGTTCAATTGAAGATGAAATCAATTCAAAAAGTTGAATATTTTATAGATAAAACAACACAAACATTAACATTATGGAAAGCTCTACAACAAAATAATAAATATTATTCAAATTTATTAAATTTAATAGATGATTCAATTCAATCATCATCAACATTTGAAGTTATTAAAAAAAAATTAGAAAAATTTATATAATTCTTCATTTATATCATCCACAGTTCATTGTCGTATAAGATAGATTTATTATATAGATTTATTTGTTTGTCTATGTACATTTGTATATATGCGTATAGGTTTGTGCGTATGGTTTTATTTTATGGAGGAGAAATAAAAAAAAGTTATTCAAAAGCTACCCGGGTACTTTTAGTTGATATGATTCACGATGATGTGTCTGTACATGTATAATTTAGCGTATTAACTATAGACGAATATAGTGAGTAGTGTTGTGTATTGGAAAAAAAGATATTGTTACGATGAAAGGTTTTTCTTGAATCGATCTTTGCTTAACTGTATGAGTGGAAAGCGACAAACTTAACTGTGATGTTTAATATAAACATTGTTAATTCTATGTCGTCTATAGAGTGTGTTGCGATCAAAACTTAATTGATCATTTCGAGACGTTCTCTTTTTTGGAATCTATCTAGTGAAAAAAACTAACTATGCTGATATCATTAAAATCAGATTTTGTATTCATGTATGTCTCAAAATTTTAGTTTCTTTCAATTAAACGCTGCAATTTTTTCATAGAAAGAAAAGAAAATTTGAAGAAAATATTATTTTCCATTGGAGAATATTTTTTTCTTTCCTACAATTTTCCGAACGTCAAAACTCATAATAATTAAGTACAAAAAGGAAAATAGAGAATGATCAATGTCTAACATTTCTCTGAGAAATGGTATGTTGCATATAATTTTGAGCATATATGTGTGCGGGTGTGGGCTCATGTACAAGTGAAGAGATCACCCACATCCATCAACACCAGATACCGGAGATAGAACAGGTGCCGGTACGAATTTCAGACCGATACCGGTAGCGGTCGTCAAAAATCCAGATAGACCCCATCTGTGCCAGCTAGTTTTGATACTTTACGACAAATATCGTCTTATCAACCAAGATGGATTAACAATAGTGATAGCTATTGAAAGAATTATATAAATGGATGTCATGAATAAATATATTGCATAAACCAAAAAAAAGAATTATCGAGTTAGTAATGGTGGATATAATTGATTTCCAAAAGAAAGCTGATCTTATTATTATTAAAACTAACTTTTTCATATCTTTTGTTTTTTTTTCTATATTTTGACTTGTTTTGTAATTTCTGTTAAAAACAATTTTTTGATAAACAATTAATATTATTGATAAAAAAATACCATCTGATTGAATTTATAGCAGTGAACATCAATCACAGATCAATTCATTTTTGTGATGCTTAGCGACTTTCTTATATTCCGTAGAATATGAGTTTTTAGTAAAGTTTTATTTCAATGAAAGGTTATGTTTTTATTTAAAGTAGAATTTTATTCATAATTGTTTCCTAATGTTAATGAATTCGATTTGAAATATTATTTCGATAAATCATGGCTTTTATTTTAATTGAATATTCCTATACTATTCTGATTCTTCATCCTAACCTGTATACATTTATATGTTCTATGCAAGATTGGAATTCTGATTCTAATTCGCTGTAAAAGCAGCGTTCTTGCTAATTCGAATGTTAAATAATTATATCATTCAATATTGTGAGCGAGGATGAGAACTGTATCTGAAGTGTACAAATAACGGAACTAATTACAATCCTGTCTGAAAAAATGTTAGTCAAAATTAATGTTTCAACTTTGCCTAGACGAATTCGCAATTTGTCTATATTGCAATTTTGTCGACACGATATATATATATGTTATTCACAAAATTGGAATTGCAGAGTAGTATTGTAATTTTGCCCATACATGATTCACTTATTTTTGCTCATTTTCTTCAATTTGCTGTATTTCCACAAAACTTCAGAAGGTTTTGGTTTCTATATTTCTAGATAGAGCATCGATTGCTCTATATAAATGTATAATTTTCCTTCGATTTATTTCATATCTTGATGAAGAAAATCAATAAATTCCCAGAAGAAGATTTAAAAAATGTTTTTTTATTGCGGAATTCAGAAATATTTTAAGTAATTTGAGCAATTGCAATGAATTGTAGTAATGAATATCTTTTGCTTTGATACAGCTAGTTAGAGAATTCAGTTCTCTATCAAAGTATTCTTTGTCAGCCAGCCTATTTTTCAGTTTCACTGAAAATTTAGTGAATTTCTGATAAAATGTTTTCGCAAAAGTTCAGTTATTTAGTTTTGTGAGGCACCTTTTAGTCGCCTAACTACTTCAAACTTTTCTATCAAGAAACAGTCAGATAAATAAAAAAATGCCTGTATTGATTCATGCAATTTTGGCTTGGTCTAGTTAGAAAGCTTTATAAGTAAATTCGACGTAGTACGATTAGCATTGAAAATTTAGTGCTGCAAACGTGTACAAATTCCAACAGTGATATTGAATTTTTTTCTCAAAATCAAAACAGTCTCATTCATTACTTGATGTAACTTTAAGTTTGCCGTATTACTGTTACTTCGAACTAAAGCAATTTTCGCAAGAATTGAATTTAGTTCAAGTGAAGTATGTTTGCGCAAAAGTTTTATTTACTTAGCTCCGGAAATTTTCTGATTTTTTTATCAAAATATAAAATAAATCAAAAGAAAACTATAAAGTTGGGTAGAGTAATAAATACTTTATCTTATCATCTAGAAATCATAAACGTCTGAATTCTTGTAGAAATATGGCAAATTGAAGAAAGTGAGTAAAAATAAGTGAATCATGCTGTATATATATACGAATAGTTGAGCATTACTTTGCTCATGTGATTAACGATTTTTCTATTCGAAACAAACATGAATCGTTCGATAGTTAATATTACGAATCTACCGACGCACATAATTCTTATTATTTGGAATAAATTGAATAAAGTTAACACAGGTTATTCATTTTTAAATGTTAATAGAAGTTTCGATAAACTAATACGTGATGAGATTTATACTCGTTCTATTGAATTGCTATAAACAAATTGTGACGAAGTCAATTTTTCAGTATCTGATCAAATATTAGATCGATTTTGTTTGGATATATTACTGCAAATACACTATATTGTTGAACAACTCATTCTTGAATCATTTTCTATGGAACGGATTCTTTACGCTGGTGATTATCCTAGATTATATAAACTTACTCTCATCAATCTCACGCAGTAGTTAGCAATGCGAGCTTTGGCAGCTAGAAAATACTTTTCTTTATAAACAATATCCTATAAATAAGACACATATTCATTCTTTAAAGATTCTTTTGGGCGAATCACATTTTGCTCTTATTTTCAAAAAACATATCACGTAACTTGTTGTCTTGATCGATGATACTCAATCAAGATCATATAACAACTTGAGACTACATATATTTCAACGTATTTTTGCTCTATTAACAACCCTAAAATATTTGGATTTTGGTCAAAGCTCGAGATGGCTTCATCCAGTATTAACATTCAATGATTTATCTGCAAAAAATTGTTTTTCGTCAACTATTGTGAATTTACGTATCAAAGTGCGCACATCCGACGATTGTCAATGACTTCTGAATGGACGTCTCAGTCAGCTGCGCACGTTCATTGTGAGAATTGATTTCATTTCCAATTTCATTTTATCATCTATCAATAATACAGTAAGAATATTTGCTTCTATTAATAAAAGAAGGCTATTTTTTAAAGGATATATATAGCATCTCAAATGTTTCTCACTAACTTTATACAATCGAACTAATAAATATGATTGTCCCGCTGTGCCGCTTCTTTGTCGAATGATATAACTCTCGAGCAACTTACATTATATCTCACTGTTACCAATCGATCGACATTTATGGATGGAATTTATCTCAAGAATGAGATTCCAGACTATATGCCTCAACTTCAAACATTCAGCTTTAATATTATCACTCGTACTAACGTCACTGCTTATGTTAATGATCAATTATATGAAGACATTCGATGCACTTTTCTCAATGGGAAATTTCATCAAGTTGATTTTTACTTAGATCAATATCCAGATGGAATGGCTCGATCTCACATATATTCACTTCCATACAGGATGAATGTCATGAGGGCTATTAGAAGTACATTTTCTGGAGGTTTATTTACAAATGTTCGTGCTATATCGTTGCCGGATCTTTTTTGTCCCTTTAAGCACAAAATCTATGATCGAATTGCTCATTCTTTTCCACGTCTAACTGATCTAATCGCTTTCAACCACAAACCACGAAATTATAAACCATCACATGAAGCAAAAAAGAATAATCAAATGTCGTCGGTTATTGTATTTCCTCATCTCACGCATATCGAAATATGTTTTGGGAATATTAATATTGCAGAACAACTTTTAGTTGATATCAACATGCTTTTGCTGCATCTTATTAATCTTACAATTCCCTACTCATGTATAGATGAAGTCACAGAAGACTTTACACGTGACGCAACACGTTGGAATTGTGCTAATATAAAACGTTTAAATTTTAATCGGGTATCATTGGTGCATTGCAAAGAATTTCACTTATATTTTCCTGATTATAAATAGAGTTGCAATGTTATATTTTATTTTCTCGTTGTTGATGTTGAATTTATTCGTTGTAAATTAAGTAATTGAATAATATCTTCAAGAAAATATTCGCTCACATCAAATGTTCGTCTTTCAATTTCTATTATTGACCAACTAAAGTTGCATCAATTGTTGCTAAATAATCAAACTTAAATAGATTATTTATTTCAAATATTTCAACATACCTACCAGACATTAGAATAACTTTTAATTGAAGATAAGCATTAAGCATATTACGAAATAAAGTCAATAAAAACAATATTTATATCGCGTTGATTTATATCAACAGTATTGATCGATTATCTTAGCATAAAATGCTTACAGATTTCATCAAAAATAACATGAGATATTCCTCTTAAACCACTTTGAAGTTTTCCTTAAAGAACAGCAACGCTACAAAAGAGTCATGAACCATATGATCGAGAAAGAATTGGACGTGTGTGTGTGGATGTATGGAGAACCAAAACACAAGTTCACATCCTCACACCCACATCCAGCATCGACATTCAAGGAAAGCTGATGGCACTTTCTTCATTATAAAATTCGTGATGCTATCGACTCCAGCAGATGTTTTTCTTTTTTAAGTTCCTTCATTATCTTATTTTGTCTTCCTATCAACAGTAACAGTCTTCTACGAATTGCGAAGCCTTGCAATTGTGTTTTATAATGATTTAATATAAGAAAACATCAAAACTATGAATACTTGTTAAGAAATTATATCATCATCGAAGAAAATTATGGCAGCACAAAATAAAGATGCTGTTCGATATTAATTTTTGTGAATTAGTAAATGAAAACAATGGAAAGAGTTCTTCCTTCATTTTTAATATTAACGTAGATGGATAGAACTACTAGGCGATTGATTAATACATTTAAGCATGCAAGTGTTTCGCTGGTTAAATCAACATTTTTTACCGATCAGTCTGTTCCAAGCCTTGCACTAGATGAAAATGTTTTAAGAACTATACAGCCAATTAAACAGTAATGAAGCAATGCGACTGCGCCTGTCACAATGTTGTCAGAAATAGGGGTGACACTTTAACTTTTCTTTAAAATTAAAGTTAAAGTAAAACGTTAAACTTTAAAAGTTAAGATTCAAGTTAATTTACTTTAACTTTAACTTTAAACTCAAAATTAAAGTACCATAATTTAAAGTTAAAGTTAAAGTATACCTACTTTAGCTTTGAGTTTAAAGTGAAGTGAAAATAAGGGTATTTTATACTTTAACTTTAATAAAAGTTAAAGTTTAAAGTGTATTCTTCAAAAACTCGTTGCTCCTAAAAAGATTAATTTTGCCATAAAAGAACAATGTTCATATAGAAAAGGCTATTTTTTTATTAAAAAATATTTTTTGATGGAAGAAATAGTGTTTTTACGGGAAAATAAAATTTCTATGAAAAACTTACTTTAACTTTAACAAAATGTTAAGTTAAAGTGGCACCCCTAGTCAGAAACCAACCGGAGCACATTGAACACTTCTCAAAACCGCCGCAGAATGTGATTGGCACATTACAGATGCAGGTCTGGTAATGACTTTTTCAATCTACATCATACGGACACATCCTTATTGATCTTGAATGACACCCACACTCATACTCTGGTCTTGCTAGATCCTGTCGAATGAAAAAAAGGTTTCATCTTAAACTGTTTCATTTCATCCCAAAGAAGTCATCCTCCCAGTTATTAATCAAAGAATAATGTTTGAAAATCAAAGTTGCTACTAGTTTTCATTCATTTAGACTTCATTCTCATGAAATTTATTCAAAAATCATAGTTAAATTTATGTGCATCATTATCATATTTACAAAACAATATTAACAGATTTCAGTCTCGAATTTTTGACAAAGCACTACGACTTGTAATCATGATTTTGATCATACCATTTTGTTTTAGATTTTAATCAATTTTAATTAAAAATTGTTTTCATTAGATTCGAATATTCTCTCTCTCTTGCACAGAAATAAAGTTATCTCAGTTGGATTAAATAATCTATCATTAAATTCTACTAGATTATTGAACTATTAAATGTGAGATAACAGCAAGACATAAAACGCAAGTAACCTTATGTAACATAAGTCACACTGTTGAATAAAGTAAGAGGATGAATAGATGATTGTTTACCAACAAGCACATCATTGACTATGAATAGAGAGGATTGACTTTGTGATACATTGATTTTGAATTTTCGAATACTCTAGAAAAGAGTCTTTCAAATCTTTATTGAATTGATATTCGAAATTTTTCATAGCTACTCTCTTTTATTACGGTGTAAAATATAAACCACCATCTACATATCCTATTCTCGATATTAATTTCGTTTTGAATCTTTCATTATGTGTGCCGTAAGTGAACGCATGTTCGAAAAATAAGTATCATAACCAAATTGGTAATGTAATGAAAAGATGTGGAAACTTCGGATTTCATCCGAGAGTTATGTGTACTGCAAAAAGTACATGGAATATATGAGTCATTCTCGAATGTCTGAACGCCAAAATTATCATGAGAAACTAGGCACTTTGGTTTCTGGATGCAGTTTTTATGCATTTTGAAACCTTTTTCAGGCGATGTTTCGTTAGAAAGCTATGATTTAGTTCAAAACTAGTATCAGATTCGGAATCAGCGTTAAAAACCGAGTCGATTTTTATATGTTGTGGATAATTCTGAGAAAAGCTTTTTTCTTGAAAAATCTCTGTACTCCCCCTCAGGGATGGTCTGATCAAAAATGACAATTTTTTCGATAACTCAGCCATTTCTTGACGGATCTTTCTCATCTTCGAACTCGACCTAGATATTGATGAGACAATTTTGTGCACAAAATTTCAGCTCAATCGAATGTAATTGTGAAGAGTTATCGAATAAACGGACGGACGGACAAACTGACCGATTTTAGTAGTGTATTCTTTTTGCTTTGAGTACACAAAAAACAGTACTGCACTAGAATCTTCAAGCAAGCAATCATAAACATCTTCAAAAAGCATTCATTAAAAGTATTATTTTTAAATGAGATTTCAATTTTAAGTCTGCTAAGTTAGAAAATGTCATCATCCAAATAGTGTCATCTTGTTTAACACTCGTTTGAAGAATATCATGACTATGGTATAATAGTAACAAAATGAACAGTAGTTTCAACTAAAGTCATATTTCTAGTGTCTTAATGAAACTGATATGTTTCTATCTCAAGCGAAACATAAAAATTGCGTTTCAAATTCATTTCAACTTATGAATGCTGCATCGTAATATCCTGTGTAAAGACAGATAGATCAATGAATAGCAGTTGCGTATGATAGTGTGCAAGTAAGGATGTAAATGGATACGGGTGTCAGTAAAGATACTCTTATCACCGAAAGGCAAAATCGATTAAATATCAATCGAAAAAGACAATTTTGGTACTCAGGAATATAATGCATTTCAATAGTGTCTTAGCTACAAATGAACCTCAGTGTACTAGTAGCATTTTGTCTGGCTTTGAAAGAGTAATTAAATGATTTATAATTGAAAATGAATCGCTGTTAGCAAAGCATGATAGAAAAACTATTTGGTCATGGATGCCCTCATATAATATGCACCAATGAACAGTGTCACCGAAAAAAAAAGAAAACGAAAAGAATAATATTTTGTCAGACATATTTTAAGCCATTCGATAAGAGAGAAAAATAGCGTTCATTTAACATATAATTCAAACTAAAAGAGTTCAAGATGAAGAGAGAAAAACCTTCAGTATAAACACTGCATAGTAGGACGCTATAGAACATTTATAATATCGACGTTGAGTCAGTCTCTCCCGTAATGTGAATGAAAATTATTTTCAATCGACTGACGACCGTTCTTTATAGTTCATTATAGCATCGAAAAATTGTTTGTTTGGATTCATAGGTAAATTTAGAAAGGGTTTCACTGAAAAATGTTTCTTTTTCTATGTGTCAATCATAAATGACTGTCTCAGAAGAGATATGAAACTAGCTGACGGCTGCATGGAACGAAGTGAAGTGATGAAGAAGAACTTTCCATGTGTGTATGTAATATTTTTTATTACAAGTTATCTACCTTAGTATGTCTCAGATGGATATCAAGAACTTTGAACTAATAATGCACGGATATGATCGATAATTTTGTTCTTGTATGCTTAATTGCTTTGTATTAAAACTATTGACTGGCTGATAGCATCAGGTTTCGTATCTGTTGTAGTGATTACCATCAGATATTAATAAATGAAAAAAACCTTCGATTATCTATTATGTACTTCATAAAGAACAATCGATGTTGACGATGAATGTATTAAGTGAACAAAAGGTATGCATGGTGCTTTTCCACACTCTTCCTACATCTTATCATTACATGAACCTGTGTTGTGCGTTGGAAGCAAGGGAAAAACAGCTCATTTTTTAATGTTCAATAAAAAAATCTCATTGCAGTTGTTTTCCTCTTATGTTTTGTTTTCTTTTTTACAAAAACTTTCTACAAAAAGACAACCTTTTTTTAAAGCTTTTTCTCATTTCGAAATAATTAAAATGAAAACATAAAGGATCTCTTTAGTCAGTAGCGATTTTTAGCATTTAATTTTATGCATTAGAACTGCGAAATCAATCAATATTGATCTTTGAACACATGTTTGTAGTAATTAGTTCAGATCGTGCAATAGTTGACTTCGTTCTGTTGACTAATAATTGTTGCTTACTCTTACTCGACTAAAACAACTAATTAATATTAACATTATTTTATTATTTATTTTATTAAACTAGTCAAAACATGACAACGTTACAACAGGAAAATAAGCATAATTCTAATCGTTCTTTCTTCACGTTAGCACAATTGAGTCGTGTTGCATCTCTTGTAAAATTATCTGTTACTACTGTTAATTGATCATAATCGACAATTAATTCCGTTAGTCGAGTTAGATGTGTTTTTGTTTCATTAAGAAACTGTTCCATATAATCAATATGAGATTTTCCTAGATAAAGCGAAATAAGATAAGGATATTCAACAATTGAGTTCAATCGATTATCGTTTGATATTTGTGATTGTGATGTAAAATTAATAATGGGTAAGTCCATGGGAATCCTACCACTTTTCTCGAAAAGGTTTTCTTTCTCAATTTTTTTCGCCGAAAAGACCAAACAGAGATAAAAAAAAACGTGTTTCATCAAAAAAAAATGGTTTCCTTTCTGATAAAAATTGTGACTTCGAGGTCGTTTTCTCGGTACATGTCAATTCTTTGAAGAGTTCGCTGGTTTTACACGAATAGAAGCGAATCAGGCGTATAAATGAGGTCTCTTATAGCATTTTTTCTGCTAAATCCATGAAAGAAGTCTAAAAGAGGCTTCAAAAGAAAAACAAATAGTAACCTTTCTGATAAAAATTATAATTTCTAGGTCGTTTTCTCGGTATATGTCGCTGTTTTGAAGAGCTCTAGTGACTGCACATTAATAGAAGTGAACTAAACAGATGAATGAGGTCTTCCTGGTCATTTTATTTTTTCTGAATTGATCATAGGACTCTAAAAAAATGCTTTGTATTGCAAAAGCCATGAGTAACGTCTAACGAAAAGGAGGGTGGGTGTTTTGTGGAGAAATCGGCTCCCTCGAAAAAATATGATAGTACGTGTCTAGAACTCTTATAAACAATGTTTTTAGTACACTATCCCTTGAAAGCTTGGTTTTTCCGTGACTAAGCCAGTGAAATCAGTCCATGAATGTTGCGTGCACATTGAGTTTAATCGTTAATTGTGATCAGAGTTTTCATCAAGCAAAAAGTGGCTAGTCTAGCTGATATTAGTATGATTTGATAGAACTTTTCAAGCTCTACAAAAGCATGCAAAAATAGCGAAAAACAACACTGGCCGTCAAAATTTTCTAAACACACATGAACATAAGCACGCGGGTATTGCTAATTTTCGCGAACAGCCAAGTTTGTGAGATCGCATATAAGTCATCTTTACGAACACCCACAGCGTGTAGAGTTATATTCACGAACACCCATTTTCTAGGAGCAATAATGAAAAC